TGGGAATCCCTAGGTACCATGCAATAATCTCATCAAATAATTCAAGCAAATGTTGGTGCTTTCTTAATTACACCAATGCAAACAATGTGCCCACAATGACTTTGTAAAACGAAACTTTATTTAATTGGTCATCTCATCATGCTTAAGAATCCCAAAGGTGCTTTTTCAAGAGGCAAATGGACTTTCTGGTTTTTCTTTGAAGACACTTCTTGGATGAGAAGCAAAACATCTTCAAAGAAAAACCAGATCATGTTCAACAATTTTGTTGAATTAAAATTAACTAAAAAGGTTTTTAAATTGGATTTCAAATAAATGTGCAATTAATTGTTACAGTTTTGAATTTTACTGTTACTATCTTCCTTCCGTCGTGCAAACCACCCAGTCACATGACACCCCCCACCACCACGCCCACAGAACCTGTAGTAAAGAAAATTGAATTCCACCACTGGGTGGGGGGCACTGAGGATCAGTTTATAGCACCAAGGGGGCAGTGGACTGAAAAGGTTTGGGAACCACTGCTCTAGAGTCTAGAATGTAAAGTAGAACAAATGTTGTTCCATAATTCCTGAAGCTATATTAACATAATAAAATGTACTTGCTATATTTATAGTTGCTCATTAAATTACATTGATGTCCACATATTATAACATAAAAGTGCACTTACATCAGAGTAGAGACAAAAAGTGACTTCATTTGCCTCAAAAACCTTTATTACAAGTATCCTACTTATAAATAGCAGTACATTGACACTTGCAATTGACAAATTCTGAGCACAGCTTACTTACAGGGTCTGTGTTGATGTTTTTGATTACTACAGAAAATCCAGGCACGTAGATCCAGTGCTATGTGCATGGAAATACACGCCATGTAGAATTTCTCATTCATTGCGGGAACAGGGGAACACTAAAATCCTTCCACACAGGTGAATTAGCAGTACCTTCTCAAACAAATAGGGTACACAAAAAAGCACAGAAAAATAAAATTGAAAGACCTGAGACTCACGCCTTTTAAATTGGGTTTAATTCAATTACATGGAGATACACACCAAACATTCATTTCTCACTACATCAAAGTATATGAAAAGGGGCACAATAATGTTTTGTGTTTGTTGAACGAGGTGGGTGACCTTTATCATGATCCATTTATTGCAATTCTTATGAAACTTTTTCTGAGGCCAGGTTGAGTTTTGAATTGCCTTTGAAAGCAATGCAATAATTTTCCAACCTAAGTAACATTTTGCTACCTTGAACATAGTTGTCCATGGCCAGGAGGGGGAGGAAGTGATGGCATATGTTAATGTCATCATACAAATGCCATAACTTAACAACCTTAGGTTGGTTGTCAAGACTCAAATACATTACAATGGTATTTGCTTGATATTGCAGCATTTTAGCATCATCTGAGTTGCTCTATAAGCTGCTATAACACTGAACCATAACATCTTATTTCATAAAAAAGGTTGATTTATATTTCCAATCTGTGTAAGCAAATATTGATCAAATTCTATATTATAATTCTGCCAGACTTTGACCATATGCCCTTGCTACTAAAGACACACACAAAAATGAAGTTTCTGTCAAAAGTAACAGTATGAGATAGTAAGCAGATTTAAACTTTGGGTTAAATATTATGACAGAAATTGGCCAGATCTGACAGTATTTCTGTTTGGTATTTTAATATTACTGAAATAGCTTAAAGAAACATGTTTTATCTTTGGTAACAACATAAGAAATAAGAATTTGGATTTAAGATGCAAGAAATATAACAAGATAAATTATTCTACACAAATTGTCTGCCGGTAGAAAAACTGACAAAATTCTACTACTAATCATTTCCAGTGTTCCCAGGTAAACATGAAGATATTAGCACATTTTTCTCCTGACATTAGTGAACTACTAAAGCAGTCTTTTCCCATTTGGTTCCCTCCAGTGGTGTTGAAATTAGTTTCCAGAATCGACTGGGAATCATAATTGCATAACATTTGAAGGTCACCGTATTGACTAGAGTATTACAAACAAACTTTCCTTCAGAGCATATATTCCTTCACATGTGTATGATAGGCAGAAATGGTGGACAACATGCCATTCTCCAGATAGTGGGACCCGCTCTTTTGTGGCCAGATTGATTGGGGTTGAAAGACATTAGAATCTAAAATTATTGTAAGACTGGAAATATCCAATTCTATGGCAGGAACTAGGCATAAATACTTTTGCCAAGTTGCTCTCCTTGCCTAGTTGGTATAATACTGGGTTGTATTTAGTACATAACTCAAGTAATGCATAAACTTATTTGACTACTTTATCTAGAGAAAGTAATTCATTTAGCGAATGAAGGCGAATATATGTGTCCCAGGATAGTGTTGCAGGATTCAATCTGGGTCAGTCACAGGGACCAGAAATTATATCTTCTGAGCTTTCAGGAAACTTCTAACTTTTCTTTTTAATTCATTTAGGACTAAGAACCTGCTGTTCTCTGAAATTTTTTTTGAAAGACTCAAATATCCACTGGATGGTAGCAAAGAGATACAAAAACTTAACAGCCCTCTAGTGGGTATATGGAATTTTGCAGCTTAGCTATGGAATACCATAATTAGTCTTCAAAGTCAACAGGTCACTTTAAAGAACTGTTCAGAAGAGCAGAAAAAGTCCATCTTCATTGGGATCAATGGACAATCAATGCATTTAATTAACATAAAACATGAATAATAACTTTGCTTCCATTGGTGTCCGTCAGAATAGAGAGATCTCATGAGTTCTTTGCTTGTGAAGAAATCTCATCCACTCTTGCCCCCAATGCAACATTGTGGAGCCAGTTTCCCCTACCTCAATCAATGGAAAGCATAGGTTGCAGTATGAATGTTTCTTAGAAGACTTTGGGTGACAAAAATAATATTTATTTCTCCTACCCTACATTATTTCCTCCCATTATTTTCTTCAGGTCATCGAAGCTGCCAACTCCATTAATCCCTTGTGATTTATATAATGGGCAGGATAAAATGTTTAGAAATAATTTTTTCTACTTTATAAAAATACGGCAAGACAAAATATATATATATACTCCTTTGTCACTATACAAATGTTGAGAGCTAACCTATCAATCCATACCCATCTGCTGTTCCTGGGTCATAGAAAGTTTTACAAATCATTAATGTAAGGCATTAATAAGAGCCTGCAGTCAAAGTTGAAAATCAGCAGGCAATTGGAGAGACTGAAATAGCTCTTCAGTCTGTTATCCTATAAAATCTAATCACAATTCATTCTGTTTTGACCCCCATTTTGAGATTAGTTGTTTGATATCCCCCCCCCCCCGGAAGCATCACAATAACTTTCTTCTGCATATAATCTTTAAAGTAAAAAAAGATGATTCAAACCATATGAATACATAAAAAATATATTGGTGAAACCAAAATTATTAAACAGTCAATATCCTATAAGATTAAAAATAGGGTTGATCTCTTGGTAATTATTCCCTTTAAATCAGATACAATTATGGAAGATACTTTGAGGTTCTACAGATACGAAGACAAGTATGCCAGGAACATTACAGGAACACTTACACATTCATTCTTCTAGATAAAATACTTCCATCCCAGAGAACATTTTCTGGTAGGGCAAAGCAGGCTCTCTATGTGTGTTTAGAAGGCCATGGGTTAGTTTACAGCAGTAGTTATGCCCAAGCAAATTAACTTGAAGATCAACCCTTCTTTTAAAACAGGGAGAAAAGCTTCCTAACAAATCAGCTTCCAAGAAGTGATTGCATGAGCTTGTTGATCTCTACTTCCCAAACATAATGGCCCAATCCTAAGCAAAGGTTATTACCAAAATAAATACAAATATTAAAAGTTTCCGAATCTTTCTCTAAATGTTTGGCATTCATTTCTGGTAACATTCACACACATGTTTCTGGATTGGTTACAACTTTCCCATTTTTTTCATCTTTCAGAAAACATTCCACTTCAATAGAGTCCACTTTGGATTGTCCAGGTAGTTGATTTAACCCTTCCCTTTCAGGATTATTTTGGTCTGTTTCCGCAGGTTTTTTGATACAGAAGATATTTCCTAAAGCCAGCACCACAGAGGAGATAACGACTTCAATACCAGCCAAAATAAAAACATACTTATACTGATGAGTTGCATCGAGGAGTTTGCCTGAAATAGAAAATTCATATATTTTAACAGCATAGTCAGTTAAATCTAGAGTTACTGCTTTTTTAGTCATTTTAGAAAGCTGAAGTGAATACGTTTTGGAGAAACTTGTTGGATAATCTAATGATACAATCTTAGTGAAAAGGTTAATGGGAGAGGAATAAAGAAGCAATGGTGACAGCATGAACCTAGCTTGTATATGCTAATATGTAATATTCATGGAAATCATTGACTTACAAATTGAAAAACCTCAACCTGAAACAATTCCCTTTAGGCTATATTGTCAGAACATCACAGAACTACGTTTGTATGCTCTTTTTGGGAAAGAAATATTTCTTTAAATTCTATAATTTAGCTTTCTCTTGAGTTCTTCATTTTCAATGCATTAAGACGGCTTATTCGAATAGGCTGCACACAAATTGCATTTAGTTCACACACTTTGATCCCTGCTCCATTCTCTGCTTTTGCATTTCTTCTGCTCTAGTAAGTTTGAAGGTACAGTATTATTTTCCTTGGTCATATAATTTAGAATAGAAGTTGTGGAGAGTTACTTCATTACATATACACACACCAAATTGCCTACTATTTAATTCTAATTAGGAGATGGACCACCCGATCCACATCTTGCCACTCTTTTGTTCTTCTTCTTTTTGGCTCTTTATTTTGAGGCTTGGATTGAAACAATCCTCTATTTGTATCCCATTTCTAAGGTAAATTGAATGGTAAGCAGCCCAGAGTCACTGACTGAGATTGGGGGGGGGGGGACTTTAGAAATTTAATAAATAAGTAAATGCTCCTGCTTTTGGCCTTCAATTATGTTAATCTGCATGCAAGCGAACAGAAGAGCAAATTGACCTCTAATTCTTAAGACAACAGCAGAGAAAATATAAAAGAGGATAATAAAACACACGGAGTGGGAGTTTCAAAGTTCTTATTCTTTCCCCGAGTTCATCTCCCCGCCCCCATTTCCATAAAAATGGAACAACTGATCTTGTTAATTAACTGGAGTACTTACCTGCTGAAGGTGGTCCAATTAGAACAGCCACTGCCTCAGCCAAAAGAACTAAGCCAATGGCACTTGAAAACTTCTGTGTACCAACAATAGTCATGAGAACTTCAAACTGAAGAGCACCAACCATTCCATAGGAAATGCCAAAGAAGATGCAGAACACCACCAGGCCACCATAATCGGAAGAAAAGGAGCCCATGAGATCAGTGAAACCATTAAACAACATAGCAAAACTGAAGAAATAGACACAGCGGGGCCTAACCCAGTCCAAGCCAGCCAGTATTCCACAAAGAGGTCGAGCAAAAATATCCACGCAGCCAAGAATTGTCAGAAGGAAAGCGGATTTGGTGTCCTCATACTTCAGATCCTTAGCGTAGCTCACTACAAAAACTGGAGGCACAAATAGGCCTAGCACCATAATGGACGCAGCCACTGTATAGATTACAAAGCCAGAATCTTTGAAAACGGTGAAATCCAATAGCTTTTTCTTGCGTTCCTCGGTTGGTTTCAAAGCTTCTTGTTTTTTGGGACCTTTCAAAGGTCTCATCAGAGCTCCACAGACACAGCAGTTCAAAAGCACCCCCCCCAAGATGAGAAATCCCCCTCGCCATCCATATTTAATCTGCAGTATCTGCCCCAGGGGGGAAAGAGCACAGAGGAACACAGGGCTTCCAGCTGCAGCCAACCCATTGGCCAAAGGCCGTCTTTTGCTAAAGTAGCGATTCAGCATGATAAGGGATGGCTGGAAATTAAGGGCCAGGCCCAATCCTGGAGAAAAAACAAAGGACACAATTTAAAACACTAATCAAGTTCAGTGTTCAACACAAGTAGAATGGGCTTAACTGCACAAAGGATCCAGGCAATCAATTCTCTCTCAAGATATTAAAAAAAATGTTACACTCCTTTATCATTGTGGGCTGAATATATGTTGACATTTAGATAGAAGGAAATATGGAGCTGCCGATATAGATCAAGGTTTCTGACACTGGGGTCTAAGAATAAATGATTAGTTTTTGTTTTTATGGACATGGTAATGTAAGTTCCTTTGGTGTCTGTCTTAAAATAAACATTCTAATTTAGAAAAACAAAAACAAGAGAGACCCCATATATGTTTTGAAGAAAGAAAGAGAAATGCTGGTCAGGCAGAACAAAGTCTTGTGCAGAACAAAGTCTTGTGCATCTGGCCCTACGGCCTGCTTGAAGGAAGGAGAGCAAGGCGTGAAGAATGGATGTTACCAAGGATTGCTTTGGAAGATGGAGGATATGGGGAGGCTGTGTGGTAGGGAGAAGCTCAGAGGTGGTATTCAGCAGGTTCTGACTGTTTCTAGTGAATTGGTAGTGGAAATTTTGAGTAGTTCAGAGAACCGGCAAATACGACCTCTGACTAGCCCCACCCCCAATCTATTCTCTGCCTCCAAGTCCCAGCTGATGGTCGGTCTATTGCAGCCTCCCAACTGATTGCTGCCCTGCACAGGAATACGGAGCTGGAAAGCAGGTTAGTGGGGTGAGGAGGAAATGGGGATTTTGCAGTATCCTTCCCCTGCCACGCCACATCCACCAAGCCATGCCCACAGAACTGGTAGTAAAAATGTTTGAATCCCATCACTGGAGAAGCTGCTTCCTATCTTATGATCACCATGATGTGCATTTGGGAGTTCTGCTGCAAAAAGGTTGGCAGTTTG